GTCAGATAGTGCCAGCAGAGGTAGATGGTTCTGGAGCTGTACTGGATGGACTGGTAGAGAGACAAAGGGCTGGAGCGGGTGAGGTAGACCTTGGCCTGCTCTGTGTTGCTGTAAAACACTGAGACAGAAAGACGAGAGAGACATGACGGGAGGATGTGCATGCAGACGGTACAGCAGTTGACAAAGGTAATGAATGTTAAACAGATAAAAATGAAATAAAAGCAAACAATAAAGAAAAAACAATGCAGTAAAACACGTGGCATAATCAGAGCTAAAGCTTCATTAGTAATTTCAATTATATTGAGTGTTTTTTTTTCACATTTTATACATTTGTGTGCCTTTCAATTCTAAATAATGATGTGAAACTGTTCAAAATAAGTGAGAATCATGATTATTAGTAATTACAACTAATACACGGCTCACTTGGAGAGTTGTGTTATTTGTGTGTGTGTGTGTTTGCTGACCTCGTCCGTTGTCCTGGTGTATGTTGAGCAGCTGCAGGCCAGAGCAGGCAGCCAGCAGCCTCTCTGTGCCGTCCAGACTGGCGCCCACCGCCTCACTGATCTCCTCTGCAGACAGAGGGCGCTCTGCACCCAGCAACACGTCAAACACACCCAGCTCGCAGGACGTGAACACCGTCTGAGTCAAGGAGTGAAGAAAGAACAGATTTAAACAGAGCAGAGCGTGCCTGTGCTGTGCTGTGTGAATAAATAAACCACTAATTAATAATTAATACAGTTCTGTCAGCAGACGCAAAAAAAAAGCAGCAAAAGCACATCACATTATATAATCATACACATCAGAACAGAGAGGCAGCCATGCTTTTAATTACTTATTTGATTTGTTTGATCAGAATATCCATTCCTCCATTGCAGATCATTTATTGTGGTGATAATAGGTGACAAACATTAACAAGCAAATTATTAAAAAACACTTATTGGCGATACATTTAGATATACTTAGACTTGAAATATCATTTAAGACAGTACAGTTGACATGTGTGGCTATTTCATGAGGTTCTAAAGTTTAATGAACAGGTGTAGCAGGAACCATGTGACCTATGAGGTAAAACACTGAACATGCATTTGCTAGTTTCAGGCAAAATGCTTTAAAAAAAATAAAAAATTTTGAAACTTGTGTAATGTAGCTGAAGTGTTTTGTCGATGCACTTGTGGATTTTGGATAATTGCATTATAATCCCTAATAGTTTATGGACACTAAGCACATTTTAGTCTTTTCTTCTGGCACATTTTGATGCATCAAGCAAAATCTAAGTATTTAAAAGTAAACACAGTTTCACTCATTCACCTGTTGGTTCCTGCAATAACAATGCATCAAAAAGCTTCATCATCCAGCATTTTTAACAGAATGTGATCATGGTGTTACAGTAAGTAAATTAAAGTGTGATAAAAACTGAACAGCGGTTGCTAAAAATAGAGCCAAAAATCTAATATTTACACTAATGATGTAGCCATCAATACACAGAGCAACATTTGCCAAATCAATTATCAAAAAAGTTAAGCTGTTACCTAATTGACTAATTAAACCCTGTGGCTGTAATGCTTTGATGCAACTGCGATACTGTGTGTGCACGCTACACGTTACCTTGGAGATGAGGAAGCCTTCCATATACTCCAGTATTTTTCTGGGGTATGTGTCTGCAGCAGGCGCCTCCTCACTTGAACCCACGTCTTGACGTTCAGCCATGGCCACAGCTCTGCACGTTGTGCTTTTCCAAGCTCTTACACCTGCAAACCGAGCTTTGCTGCAAATCCGTCTGAGCTCTGGAGACGCTTCAACAGGTGCCTGTGTGAATGACAGCAAAGGCAAAACCCGACTAAAAGAGGGAAAAGTGCCCACCCAGCAGCAGCAGCAGCACTGAGGGTAGCAGTGGGCTAAGCTGATTACAGCCAGATAACCCAGATTAGAGCACGGGCTCAGTCTGTCAGACAAAGAAACAACTCTGTGGAAACACTGCTGCCTTGTTCATTGTCACTCAGCCACTGCATTCTCAGACCAAAACCTTTCCACAAAGTTTCATGTAACCCAAAATGTGATCAACAGTGTGGGATGACCAAACCTTGGAGTGAATCTGCATCTTATAAAAGATGTGCTGCTGCTCTCTGACTAGCTTTGATACTGATGGTAGCATCATACTTAATGATCCAGTCTGTCACGTCACATGCCTTGATGAGATTACAAACACTAATCAGTTTGACTATTAATTGTTCAGCCACACAGTTCATTATCCCCAGCAGCTGAATGTACTGTAGATATGACAGCAGAATCACAGAAGGGTTTGGAGAAAGGTGTTGCATAGATTTTAGTTGACTGACAAGCACTTTTGACAATTTCAATTTTGTTGATTCGATCGGAACAAAATGCAGGCAATGGTGCATCATCAATCAATCATCATGGCTACAGCATTTCTGATCATAGAGTCCTTTATGTTGCTTATTCAGAGCCAGTGTTCTGCTTCTGGGATCTCAAACCTTGACTCCACTTGACAAACGGAGTTTGAGCTCGAGTTCAGCTACAAGACATCTGTTAAATGAACTAGTAATGAAACGAATCCACTACAACGCGCGATAAAGCAGGAGAAACATCCTAACATCCCATTTTTACTGTTGTACTGTGCTGCTTTCCTTTAAAAAAAAATGTTTTACTTCGCCATGCAACATAAAAAACTCTTTAAGGCCTCAAATCCATCACTTTTATTCAAGACTGACATATAACCAAGCAGAGAGGGAGCGCTGGGATGAGTTTAATACATCAGTATGCTTCCAAAACATCAAGTCATGCTTTCCTTCCGAACAAAACAATTCCTCCAATCACTCCAAAATCAAAACGTCTCAACTAAAACTATGTGATCATTACGAATGCAGCCGCTCAGTCACGACAAGTCCTTTGTTGTAGAGCTCAATAAAAACCTAAATACTGACACAGCTAGGCAGCTAAAACATGACAATGAAATCAGTCGGTGTGCCTGACAGCTTTAAAACGGAGGGATTCTTACAATAGTCTGCGGAAAATTCACAGTTGTAATGGAGCAGCAGTCATTCACAACGGTTCTCTTAAACATCTGCCACAACTACAGCAGCCATAAGATGTAGATCACATGCTCGTCAGAAAACAAAGTGTTTGAAACCTCATGCCGACAACTTCATACAGGAGCCTCTTATGTTTTCCATAGTTAGGCTACAGATGTGGATGAAAGGCTGAGAAGAAAACCAGACACAGTTTGTATTCAAGCTTCCTGTGGCCCTTCATAGACAACAATAAGAGGTCATCAGTGGGTTTTATGTTTCAGGAAAGGTTAGACTGGTGTGTCAGTCTACGAACCACGGGCCGAGATTATTCTTTTCAAATTTAAATTTGCCAAATCACTGTTCTCATCTTTTAGTATGATGAATACCAACAGCTACATAATGAACCACATTTAAATAGTCTCTTTTTAAAATCATTTTCACTGACAGAAGAATAATAATAAGAATGTTCTCTTAAAACCAAACCACACAGTAAAGTTTCCTTTTTAAGCCATGACCTTGTTCAATGTAAATATTCTAAATATTTGGAATTTCTTATGCGCGAGTAACGTTAATCCAAAATATGAGCTGCTGGGGAAATAAATGACTAAAGAGATAAGCGCATCGCTGCAGAATCGACTTAACATGGTTCAAATATGTGGTACGCTTCATGAATTTATTGCTTGGACTTGACTTTTTTTTTTTTGTAGTCGAGTTTTTCGATGTAAGATTTCTTGTTTTATGCCAAGCAGCCCTGTTCAGAAAAAAGCCAGTAGGAGCGTTACTTAACTAAGGGACCAAAAATATCTATCCTGTCTCTGAAAGTTGTTAGACTCTAGCTGTAAGTCCCAAAATTGTGAATAAATCAGTCAATAAAATCATTACAGTGATGAGTTCAGCGTCGCCTGGAGTGGCTTCTATCTCTACAGTTGCTGTGTCTCCTGTATCTTCGACTGTAGTGACTGTGACTCCTCCGGTCTCTACTTTTGTTGCTGCTCTTTGAGCTGCCTCTGCTGCCTCGGCGGTGGCTACGCCTGTGGCTCCTCCCTCCGCTGTAACTCCTCCCACTGCTGCTCCGGCTCCTATCTCTGCTGGAGCATGTGCTCCGGCTGCAGTGGCTGTGGCTGCGCCTCCTGCCGCCGTGATGATGACTGTGGCTCCTCCTTTGACGACTGGAGCTCCTCCTTCGGCGGCTGGAGCTCCTTCTCCTCCTGCTGTAGCTGTGGGAGCGCCTCCTCCTGCCCCGACTGTATGAGCTCCTTTCTCTGTGGGGGTGGCCCCTCGCTTGCTCCCTACTCTGCCTGCTCCTTAGCACCTCTTCCCTCCTTCCTTCTCTGTCTTTTTTCCTGTCCTCCCCTCCTCTCCTCTCCTCCGTTGCTTTGTTTTTCCCCAAAGCATGGGAGTGCACGCTGGATTTGGACGCTTGTTTTTCTTTGCTCTCAGCAGCTTTTCCTCCGTTCACCAAACCCAGGACCCCAACCATCACATCACCAGGATCAGACGTCCCTTCACTTGTCTCAGGGACTTCTTGGTCCTGCGTGCCGGCAGGTCCTGCCGTTTTCCCGCAGCTCTTCTTCAACAGGTTGCAAAGCAGCCTCTCGCGCAGCTCCTTCTCTCTACGTTGCAGCTCTAGTGCTCGCTCCTTCTCCACCTCCACCCTTCGCAACTCCTCCTCCTGTTTGCGTCGACAGGCCTCCAGCTGCTGAAGACGGGCTAATTCCTCCTTCTGTCGAGCCTGCTCCTGCCTCTCCTTCTCCTCGCGTTCAGCCCTCTCTTTCTCCTGCTGCTGCTGCTTCAGCGCCTGGGGAGAAGGCGAACACACAGACAAGACAAACCATGAGGATGAAATAAACACACACACAAGGACCCCTAAAGCTGATGTTACTTCTTGCGAAGCTAATGAGTACGAAAACTCAACAGACAAACAAAACACAGACTGATTTTGACTAAGTAAAAAACTGAGCAAGGGTAGGTCTTAAAATGTAAAACTGTTTCTTTAAAGACGATCCCCAAAATCACTGATCCCATTTGATTGCAGACATGCCAAGTAAGTTGTATTCACTGTTGTTGTGTGTTTTGTGTTCCGCTGTTGTGTATGTGTGCAAACCCATTCAGAGGTGTGCTGTGTTTCGGTTGTGTTCATTTACTACCTTGGCCCTGGCCAACAGCTCAGCAATGAGCCGGATCGACTCCAGGTTGCGCTGAGCCAGAAGGAGCCTCCTCTCCTCCATGGCGATCTTCATCTGCAGCTTCTTCTGCTCCTCCTCCTGTTGCCGCCTCACCTTCTTCAGATTCCTCCTCTCCTCCCGCTCACGTAGCTTCTGCTCTCGTTTCCGTATCCTCTCCTCCTTCTTCCTCTCCTTCTCCTCCTCTTCCTGCTCCTTCTGTTTCCTGAAGACGTGGTAAAATGACCTCTGTGAATATCTTATTGTTATGATACATTAACTCTTGTCGAGCAGCACTAAGTGGCAATGTATGGTAGCTTTGACTGCTGCAGCGAGTGCAAGATTACATCAACCAAGCCATTGATTAAGTTGTCAAAAAATGACCTCCTTAACACTCAGTTATTCTGTTCCTCTACTTAGTTGTTGTCTCAGTGGACACAATGCTTCTTCCACAATCGCACTGATGTTTCTCTGTTTAGCTTTTAAAACAGTTGAATACTGGTTTTAAAGCTCCTGCACTCATCTTACATTTTTTAAACAAAGCAGAAAGCCATGAAGAGCACACACATATCCTGTTAATGCAGGGGATGGATATAAATCTAAAGGTGGGTAAGCTTCACTGACAGGTGCAACACATTGCTGTATTTTTTCACATTTCCTACCTGGAGGCTGATGCAGGACTTTCAAAGTGAACACAAGTTTTTAACTTCTTCCTTCAACAATATAAACTTTATTTACTTCTTCTGCAGAAAAATGTGATTCCAGCAGTTCAACACTGTGAATTACATCCCACTGCCATGATTCACACACTTCCCTTGTTGATCATAAGTTAGCTTTCCATTTCTATTCCATCTTCCATCATACCTCTCCTCCTCCTTACGCCGCTCCTCCTCTTCCTTCTCCCGACGTTTCTGCTCTTCTCTCTGCCTCTCCAGCTCCTGTAGCTTCTGCCTCTCCAGGCTTCTCCTCTTCAGAGCTGACTCACTGAGATGCTTGCTGGTGTCAAAGGTCACCTGTGGAAAACACACAGGCACATCGTGTGGAGGTTCATTTCCCAACATGCTGCTGTCGTAGTTATCTATATTACTTTTAACTTAATCTGCAAATAACTTGCTTTAATTTATGAGTTGGAAATTGAATTTTTCTTGAGACAATAAAAATGTTCACATTAACAGATTTTTGGAGGGTTCACTTTTTGAGGATATATTTACACGCTTCAGACAGACTGCTTGCATTCACGTTATTTATCACAGAGTCTTAGATTTTAAAGAGACAGCACAGTAATGTGATACGCAAGACAGACAAAACACTTCATGTCTTGTGAAATTTTGCACCGTCCCCTCTTTATATCAATGTTATTTCAAAACAGAGCCAGTTTCCAGCTTTGTCTTTTGTTCATCATCTCTTATTGCAAAGCATCCTTTTCTTTTCTTTTGTCATTTAGATTTTAAAGCATTATTCTGTGGATTAAAACACTTGGATCTCTAAAGATTTCACATTTTGGAAAAATTAATAATGCTGTTTCAATTCTCATTTCGCTTAAGACCGTTTACAGCAATGTGTTCAAAACTAAAAAGGCCTGCATGGGTGGTTACAGGCATGGGTGAGAAAATGAAATATAATCCAGGACTGCCAGTTTGACAAACACGTCTGTGAGTTTGACAGCTTATCGGATACAAACACCTGATAGTGTCTTATGAGTCTACGAAGAAGAATTTTATAGCTGTGGAAAGCCAGGGACAGTCGTTTCAGTCCTGCTCCTCACAGTCGTAGCTCAAAAGCAGAAATACAGTATTCGTGGTACATCCCTGTGTCATAGCAGGGGTCTCATTTAAAATAATAAGGGCCGAATCTTTTCGTAACAGAGCTACAAACGTGGCTCCATTCTTTTCCTCTGTGCGGCACGAGTTTCAAACTAACATCCAGAGCCCCGGGCTGCCAGGTTATGACAGTGAAATTAACATGTTCAGCGATGAAGAAACGGAACACACTAGAGCTGTACTCACTGCTCGCCTAATTGGGAAAAGATATATCTTTGTACACCTTAATGACAAATTAAACTGGCGCTTTCTTGATGCTCTGCTCATTTAAGTTTTAGGTTTCTCTCTCTAGGATTGAACATATGAAAGAAACCAAAGTGCAAATCATAGTTATGAAGCTCAGAAACTGGGAAGCTTGAAGGAGATGTCAGCTCAAGCGCTGGGAGGGAATTTCTAGCCAACTAATCGGGCAAAAAATGTCATAGCCTTTTATAAAAGCTTTCCAGCTACTATAGCCTGCAGTACCTTGATGTTACAGGCCACTGCCTTTCCATCGTCTCCTTTCAGCATCAGCTTCATGCTGCGCAGAGTGTCCATGGCCTTCGTGAAGCCGCAGTATTCCTGATACTGGACATAAGCCTCGAAGTTCAGATGACCACCGAAGCTGAATGTACTGAAGTTCTTGTCCAGCATCTCCTCCCTGTATGGGTCCAGCATGGGGATGTCAACATTTCGCACCTAAGATCAATAAAAAAATGTTATTTTTGTTTGAATCCTTTCATATTGTTAATACGATGAAATATACTTTTGGTGTCACGGCAATATATATATATATATAATTAGGATATCTGTGTCAGTGTTCTTAGTTAAATAATTTCAGAAAATTATATCACATTAATGTAATGCATACAACTACAGTATCTGTTTAGCATGTTAGTGTATTAGTTAGATTTGTAGTGAAGCAACACTTCTGCCTCCTTAACTTACAAGCCTTGCTTATGCTGAATTTACAGAAGTAAAATATGAATTTGGTGTTCAGCTTAAAGTCCGTTGCAATATAGACAAACAGAAACAGAACAGTGAACCACCTTGCCAAATGTCTGGAAAACAGCAATAAGAACTTCTTCTGAGGGCCGGTCAGGGAACAGGCTGTCCTTCTGACTGAACCAGCGACAAGGAAGTCCTTCCAGGTGGATGGTGTCAGGCCTCTCTCCTGGCAGGGTCTCGTTCATGTCCTTGGCGTCACGGAAAAATGAGTCCCAGTCGTGACGAGTAGGGAAGTCCACTTTATTCTCTACTGCACGTACCTGAGAAAAGAGGGGGAGGTAATTACCCTTAGGTGCCAGTTTATTATGTACAACTAAGCAAAACCAATGCAGTCCAACACAAATGCTCTGTAAAAATTTGAATACAATATGGATAATGTTCAGTACTTTGGCAACTCTTCTTGGTAGGTGTGAATGTGATTTCACTCTTGCAGATGTGGGTAAAAGGGGAAATTTATTCCACATGTACCTTTTTGGACACATACAGATGCAAACAACCCAAACTTATCAACTCATCAAACTTAGATGGTGTTATTAATTTTAAACACTAGCGGTGGACATATTACTGGATCCAACATTCTGTCTTTTTCCATTATTTTGTTCACCTATTCTCTCTGCCTGTAGTCACCACTCTGATTCCCAGCATTGCCTCATCGGCAGCACTATCTGATCGGCTACAGATCACACATAATCGCCTATCAATACTGAAGGATAAAAGCCTAAAGGTTATCTGATAATTAAACACACAGAAAACAAAAACAAAGGCATTTCATCGAACGTTTGTGCTGTGAGTGTGTGTTATTCTACATTATGGCCAAACGACTTCCATTTTTACTGAAAATGTATATTGTTATCAGTCTTCTTGATTACTAATAATCAATATCATCGGTACTGGCTGACCTCTATTAACACCATAATCAGCAGCGTGACACCATGTCAACCGTACCTTCAGCACATCAGTAAATCCACTGAGTTTGATGCTCTTCCCATCCAGGCGACTCAGCAGGCTCTTCACCACCGTCTTGTTTTCCACCTCCCCTTCGAAGCGGATGAAGTCCATGGTGCTCTTGGAGATTCGCAGGGCTGCAAACTGCTCTGGAGCTACCATGGCCTTGACCCTCTCCATCACCTCCCAGTTGGAGATGCTCTTGCCTGGCAGCTTGAGCTGAGGCAAAGCCACGCTGACGGTCATTTTGGCGATGGGCTTGAGGTACAGGCTGTAGTCAGTGGAGAGGCACACTGCCTCCGTAGTGTCGTGGACTATGGTGGTCATTGTTGCGGATAGGTTGGGAAGCTTGGAGAGAGAATAAAGATGGTTAGCACTGCTTGTTTGTGGCTTTTGTGGATTATTTTAGCGATCACGCATTCAAATGAAAAGCAAACAACGTGGTGGTTTACAAACTCAAGATTTAATCTGTTTATTTGTTTTTGTCCGGTCTGGAAGTGTTGTGTTGTTGTACTGTCTCTATCCAAAAACACAACTGCTGTATTTGGAAATCACCGCGCATTTAGAAATCAGACCTAAGGTCGCTTGTTATTTTCATTCAGGTTAGAGTTCACCTCTGTCTCAAAAAACCTTCAAGTTTTACACAACTATCTCGCTAAATCACACGCTTAAACGTTATATTAAACATCGTTAACACTAACACCGCTAAACAGTGCGTGTTTACGGTTTAATCCGCGATGACTGAATGAAATGCTAACACACAAACTGTATGCTAGCATGTAAAAGCTGTTGCAGCAACGTTTGGAGCGCAAACATGACATTAGCTGTAAGTTGACGCTAAACATTAGCTTCCGTTAGATCCCCAAAGAGGCTGTAAAAACAGCCCAATAACCAGCTAGCTAATGTGGACAGGTTATACACAATGCCGCGCCAATAAACAGCTATTACGCGCAAACCAATTAGTTAATGACAACAGCTAACGGTATTGTTGTGCTAGCTAGCCGCTAGCTAGTTAGCTTCAAGGTTCTCTAACTATCTTTCCAACAACTGACTTTATATAACGATTCATCAGTTATCACAGGTTTGATCACAACCTACCCAACGTCAGTTAGCCTCCCGGTTAAAGAAAAAAAGCAACAAACTTATTGCAATGATTTATGGAGAGTCAAACAATGCAAGTAAAAAAAAAAAAAACATCCATTAAAAACCAGCTGCATGCTACTTCCGGGTTCAGTCAACTTTGACCTGAGTGTGTGACAGCCGCCTCGTGTGGCTTCATTTCAAAACAGCGACACCACGTGAAGCAAAGTGGGAAAAAATAGAGAGAAAACAGGACAGGACAAAAAAAAAAGCTTTAATTATCTTCATCATCAATCAGAAAGTAGATCTTTTCCTGTCAGAGTGAAGCAAGGTCAAATGGATCTACATAAATCTGTAGTTTAAAATATCTAAAATATGATGAATGCAAAAGAATAAATAATTTTAAACTATTAAATAAATAATAAAACAAAAATATAAAGACAACATCTTGTTAAATTCAGTCCATTCTTTTCAACAGAGGGCAATAAGTATTTCTTGTTCCAACACCTGGCGTCTCATCATGAACAACTATGTATAGTACAGTTGGATATGATAATAAGCTGACACAATGGGATCAGAAATCAGAAAACCCAAGTCAGTAATAGGTGTGTCCATCATGTAATACCACACATTTAAATTGCACCGAGTCAATGAGGTCACCAATGCTGGCTTGTGGAATGTGGTTCCATTCTTCCTGAAGGGTTTGGCAAAGTTGCAGAAGACTCCCATTCAATAACTATATGAAAAGTTCATTCATTTTTTCTTCCAAAAGTAGTTATGATTCTTTTTTGTTAAAGTCCTTTTTTCTGGTCAGTGTTCTGGTGGTCCATTTGAAAAATCCTTTCATAATTAAATAGAAATAAGGCCTTTAAGTGTGCGATGCTAAAGTGGTGTGTCTGGTTTGATTCACGTCAGGAGTGATCATTCTCTTTATACAGCAGAGCCGGCATCAGGCCGGTACAGCTGGGCAGGCAGAGTGTCCTTTTCAGATCCACACTCTCTTTCAAATATAGTCACTTTTGGCTCCAGAAACTCTGAGATGGCGATCAGGAGGTAGCAAACTTGAGGCTTCAAAATGATAGTCCACAAACCAGTGGGTGGTGTCACGGTGGCTACGTTTACTTTTATTTGCAGTCTATGTGTTGGACGTGTTCATCTGGAGCATCCCACATTGTTGATGGATGACAAGTATGTAGGCTGTGGCTGCTGTAGAGGGTTGTGCATATTCTGGTGACGTCAGGATGTGCTTTGTCTTGCTGAAACATCAAGTTATGTTGGTCAATAAATTTAAACAATGGGTGTGAGGATTCCATCTTGATGTTGTTGGGCATTAAGGTTGCCTTCAGTGAGACACAGACAAGGAACGTGAGTGATCATGACACCGTTCTGCCGTTAGATTAAGGCCACAGTGTGGGCAATGAAATTGCAAAGCAGTATCCCTCAGGTGAGTCCTAGCAGTCAGAGCAGATATTCTCAGGGTATGCAGACGAACAACTTCATCAGCAGTCTCTGTAGCTGACTGCAAACAATTCTGCTGATGGATGAGCCAAAGTTGTGGACATCCAGGTTCCTGGCTGTGACCCTAACTGACACATCCACTATGCCTGTTCTCATCTCTCGTTCGTCATCTGTGGCATCATGTCATTTGAATAAAGTTGCATTCTAGGTGGCCCTTTATATTCACTGGTTAAAGGAGTGTCTGCGCGTCGGTCACACGCTTATTGTTCTTTGAAGCCACACCTGGCTCGGGTGTGGATTAACTCAGTGGTTAAGAATTTGCCACAAGTTGAACAACTCAAAAAGTTTTCGTGCACAGTTGGCTTAGTTTTCTCATCACAACAATAGAAATGGCATTTTAAACTTTTTTTTCTCTCTGAGTCACAACTAAGACCGTTCAAATTTTAGTTCAGTGTAACCGACAGGATTTATGTTTCTAAGTAGTTCATTTCTTTGATATGATGCACAAAATCCTGACTTTCTGGTTCATCTAGTTGGTCTGAGAAGTCACATATTTAGAGAAATAACAACAGCAGACGATAGATGACTGAATGCATCCTACATACACCTGTATCACTATTCTGCACTACATACATGTGATTCATTTAAATCACTTACAGGAAACCTGTTACCTTTTTATCTTGACCAAAAGTCACATTAAATGCTATGCACTGCTGTAACACAATAAAACCCGAAAACCTTTGATACTTTTTATTGGCACAAGACAAACGAAGGCCGGGGTGACCGTGCAGATTTGTTTTTGACTCGATGCCTGTTTGGAACTGTCGGTCACGTTAGGCTTTGTGTGAATGTCATCATCACTGTGGTAACTGATTCGGGCGAAGGCGAGAGATGTGGACAGGCTGGACATGGATTAGTCCAACAGTGGAGGCCCCAGGCAAAAAAGTTGGCACAGTTTCCCTGAAAAGATGGCAGAGGAATTTACATAATGGGCATTACTCCCTTCACTGTGTATGTAGGTCAGTCGCTGCAGTCAGACAGTCTCTTCGCTCTGTCCTGATCAGCAGTCAACTAATAGACAGGCCGCCTACGGCAACTTTGGATGCTGCAGGGCCAGAAAAAAAGATCACTTCTGACCTCTATAAATCTTTTCTAACTTGTAGGCGAGGGAAATATCAAAGACGCATCAAAAGAGCACACTCTGAATTGAAAGCATTTACTTTTACACAAGGAACACGTTGCATGTGATATGGAATGACTGTTTACATGTAATCCTGCTTTTACATGGTCGATTAGGTCTGGTAATCACGAAGAAGAGAACAGGCCCAGACAGGGTGCCAGAGGAACATCAGTGCCACAAGAGGATTGTCGGAGCTGTAGTTATCTGTTCGGTCCCAGGCGCTGAGTACACTGACAGGAAACGAACCATATCCCTCTCACACATATGATGGCTTATAAACATCCTCTACTTCTCACATTTCTTTTATCCTCGGCGACATGCTGGTGCTAACAGGCTCAGCGGCATGCCTAACAAGGGAAAAAAATCAAAACCACTTGGCCTCTGTCGCATCTTATCGAGCATAATAAACTGATAAAACCGGGAACAACCTTGTATCCGCAGTTTAAGTGGTTGTGAAATTGTATTAGTGTGGTTTACATCCCAGCCACAACAACACTGGCCCGGTGCAGACTTCAGCTCAGCGCAGATCGCTGTGAATTTCATCAATCTTGTCGGGAGTTTTGGTCTTCGCAACAATACAACCACACTCAGAGACACAGCACAGGTGCAGAATGAGGACCGGCTGTGAATACGTAAAGCTGCCGTGCTACGTGGGCAGCTTGCGGACAGGACGCTGTGGATATACTGTAAATGCTGGACCAGAGCTGGAACAGTGGGTGATCAGATCATCAATTATTCAGCACCACCAGACAAGGACAATCGGTTGGTGTCAGCAGGAACAGCGGATGAAATGGCTTGCTTCAGTCCACTCTGACTGAACTCGACACAAGTATTACTGATTGTTTTTATTTTTTAATGAAGCCTCCTATTATTTTGGCTCAGACTTCGGCTGCTGGGGATTTTTTCCAATGCATTAATTCCATTTGTTTGCTTGCACTGTCGTGGGAGTACAGTTATTGTTCAGAACTTTAGTTTTATGCAAACAATTATTGCTTTATTTCACATTTAAGGATGAGTAGAAAGCTGAGAGTGGCTCATTGACAGTGACTTCACACCACAGAATAACTTCACAGTATTTCACGAATAAGACAGACACAACTATTTACAGACACGTAAACTGCAGGGTGTACAGCATTTACATTTCCCCCCAAGTCATGCAGCTCAGAAAGTGACGTCAAATTACATCTGTATGCGACATTTCTACATGAAAATTGTCAACCGTACAATTAAACGAGGCCCAACGATTTAAGTACAAATCCTACAAAATACGAAGGGAACATTCATGAAATCTAGGAAATGTCATCGAATAAGTAAGGTTCACATATTTGGGAAACCAGTTAAAAAGTCACTGTGCTTGTCAGCTAAACATACAGCATATTCTGATAGACTCTGTCCTATTCACAGATAACGCAAACATGAGGAAGTGATTGTAAGGTTTAGACTGATACAATACAAACCCTGTAAAATATCATGAGATGCTTGATTGCATATTTAATGTAAAACCGATCCACGCTCTGCTGGATGTCTGTGGCTGTCTAGACTGTAACCTAAACTTAACTTATCCTCAATAGCGTCTCTATGTCCCTGTAGGATTTTAGCGTAAATCCTCCATGAACTAGCGAATCTGTGTCATATTTAGAAGACTTTCTGGAATGAAAATAGTCAAATATGTATATTTAAATGTCAGAAAACACTGTAAAACACTGCAATTGACTTCCAGAGCCCCATACCGTTTACAGCCCCCCCGAAACGCACACGTTAAGCAATAAGTGAACCTGTTTCAGAAAATTTGAGGTACATTGTAGTCAGTAGAAAAACGTATATAAACTATGTGGTCCCTGTGCTTTCAAACTGTAGAACAGCCTCTAAGTGTAACTAATCAGCGTTTTATATAAATAACTGGATCTAACTAAAGGTTTCCTGGAAATGTCCCCCCCCTCATCAGCGTCACTAACACTGAACAACCGTTTTTAACTCTCTTTTTGGTGCCATTTGTTGATGAACAAAAGTGAAAGGTATAGGGAAAAAAATAGCCCATGCATCTAAAGGTGCAACAATGTGATAATATATCTACAATTTTAACTTATAAGAATCATCTGGGTCCAAAAACAGCTGTCATGGTTTTAGTTCATGCAGTTTTTCCTCCCGTACTCACCTAAACTCTTCAAAGTGACAAAGTGCAAACATGATGATTTTACATGGATACAAGAATTTTGTGGTTAAAACCGTTTGAATATTAAAATCTGCTACTTAAGAATAAAAACCTTTGTTCACATTATATATTTAAAAAAAAGCACCAGCCGGTTACAGGAGGTTGAAATACAGAAACTGAGCTCTATAAATATATTACTCTACAAACAGAAATACAGTTTCGGATAACGGTGTGGATTCAAAACCCAAGTGGTTCTTTCAAATTCCAACGCAACGCCAAAACTAAAGTGAAGACATGTGACAGGACTGCATGTTGTTTCTGCATGTGTGTCAGCATCACGCCAGTAGAACTTGTTTAACTAAGATACCTGGCGTAATGTTTGCTACCTGCTCAAATCACACCTAAACAATATCGGAAAAATAACAAACAGAAAAATCAAGTTTGAAATCATTTCACAGTTCAGCTTTCAATAACTGAATTGCCGTGGCCAGTAAAATGCTACGTAAACCTTTCAACAACAGTCTAACAGCTGCAATAGGAACAAAAATAAATTAGAAAAAAACATAAATTTGTGGTTATAATAATAAAACTTCAAAATCCGCTGCTTGTTAGGATGTTAGGGTGTGTACTGTGAAATGCTGCCGTAAAAATATCTGACCAGTCGGACTATAAAGGTGAGTAAACTACAAATCCAAACATGATCGCTGGCTCTGAGTGGTGTAACTTTATCCAAACAGGTTGGACAGCGGCCTGGTTCGGAGAGGACTGCTGGGTAGCTCCTCTCCTCTTCCCACCTCGCCCGTGTCCCTGAAGGAGGCGCTGTGGATGATCTGGGCTCGGTGGCGCGTGGCTCGATGCAGCCGGGCGTTCAGTCGGCTCAGGGACGTCTTCCTCTGCATGCCCCCCTTAGTCTTCCCCGTCCCCGCCGCCTCCTCTGCCGCCTCCGCCGGTGGGTTCAGCAGCCGCAGCGGGTTCAGGTTGCCCTGGAGGACTCTGGGAAACCTCCAGCCACGCCCTCCGCCACTGCTGCCGTTAGTGTTTTCGCTGTCCGACTCGGCTCCCGGTGAGGTGACCACTCCCTCCTCCTGCAGGCCGGCGGCCAGCGGAGGGGGAAGGTACTGGATGGCTCGTCTGCCGCTGTAATCTCGAGCTTCGGGGTCTGCCTCCCAGTCTGACAGCAGCACACGGACCACCTGACAAAACAGCACATCACAGACAGATATTCATTTAGAATAAATTGGGGTTTAAAGTGATTAAAATTCAGCTATCACAAATACCTGTATCAGGAAATAATGCGGAAATCTCAACCCAGTCCATATATTCCTGGCTGCTATTACGAATCAGCAATAAATGGGAGGATTGCAATATTTTTGTCTTAGATTTTTCTATCATTATTCCATTAATTTCCCATAATTTCAATAAGGAAACCTCCAGCTGGCATCTTAATAATTAAGCAGCAGGTTCCCAGTTTAACACCTCCGTCTCACACTTGAGCTGCCGAAGCTATCGGTTCAAAAGGTATCTGGAAGTTTTTGCAGGCACCAAGTTTTCTTACTGGGCTCCATCCAGACCAAAACATTGCACACACATTTTTTGCAGTTCAAAAAAAAATTGGACAAAGCTAAACACACACATGATGTGAACTGAATCCTCTGCAAAAATATCAAAAGTTGTGATATTTTCAACTCATTGTTTGAGCCAAAAGTGCTACTCTCTACCTCCTATTTCATTCTAGTCCAATTAATTTGTTTTGCAAAGAGCTTTTGAACTGATGATTCCATCCTGAGCAGACACAGTGTGAGTAATTATGCTCTGCTTCACTGAGCAGGTGCAACACATGACACCGCACTCTCACCCTGACGACCCACCTGTGTGTGTCCATGCATGGCAGCCAGGTGTAGCGGTGTGTATCCAGCACTTGATCTCACGTTTACATTCACAGGTATAGTGTTCTCCTTGGCAAAGGCCAGCAGCTGGGAGAGCAGCTCAGCTTTGCCCTGCTTAGCTGCCCAGTGGAGGCAGGTAAAACCCGTCACAAAGTCTCTCTTGGTCACCAGGCTCGGCTCGACGGCCAACAGGGGCTGCAGGCTTTCCCACAGACCGTCTGAGGCGCACAGCATCCACTCGTGCTCGAGTGGGTCCAGGGTCACCGAGGCGCAGTCCTCATCGGTGGCTGAGGAGAGGAGGGACGCTGAGTCGCCATCGCTCCTCACCGAGTCCCGGAGACGTGAGCCGCGGTTGATCATAGACCTACGAACCTGCAAAAGGCAGAACGTAACAAATGGGGCACTCTTTAGATTTGTTTTACATCAAACCAACAACATACAGTGATTATTTAGGAAAGTAGTGCCATCATATTGTTACACAACAATATTTAATGCCAAAGAAGCACAGTGTCCTACCTGAGGAGAACTACTCATCATCAGCTCTATGAAGTTCCTGCGGCTTCCTTTGGGTGTGTTGATATCTCCGATAGCTTCCAGCCCCTCCAGCGCGCTGTCTTCAGAGAGGCAGCTGGTCAGCATGGCCCGCTGGGACCCTTTGGACACCCTGCGTGCTCCTCTCACCTGCTGGTTGTTGGACCCTCCACAGTGGGCCACGTCCAGATCTGGAATCCCAATAACTGGGGCCGACTCTCGCCTCCTCCTGTCCCTCAGCTTCACCTCTCCTCCACCAACAGGGGTGGAGGTCTTGCTCTGGGAGGGGGCTGCAGGTTGCTCGTTGCCATTTGACTGCTTGTCGTTGTCCAGGCTGGCAGACTGTGGACTTTGTGCTCCTGTAGAACCATTGCACGGGTTATGCTTTTAGCTATCATGCAGTTTTTTGCTTACATATTGTAAAAATTTTTGCATGATGCTGACACAGTGTGACCTGCACAGGTATGAATGTTTTTCTTCCTCTTAGAGTGAGTATTGGCATGCAAGAGGTCAAAATGAATGCTGCTACCAACACAGTAGGTGTTGGCCTTCAAAACAATGGCCAAAGCCTTGTTTGTACTTCACCATGCTGTGATGCAACCCAGTGGGCCAAGAGGACAGAAACATCTAACCAAGTAAATAAGGACGCATGCAGATAGAAACGAGATAACAGGAAAATAACACTCATATGGATGAAATAAAACGTAATATCCACAATGGGTGCGTCCCCCTCACCTGTTCGCTCTGTGTTTTCAGGGTTGCCGTTGACATAATTGTTGTCCAGCCTCTCCTGGATGTTGCCATTGCACTCCGCGTGATCGTGGCCGTCTGCGTCCGAACGCATCACCGACCCCGCGCTGCCTTCACTGTTCAGGCACACGAATTTCACGCCGTCTTCCACCTTCACGAACCCCACGCTGTCAACGATGCGTTTCAGCACCTCGCGATCCACCCCTTCCTTTGACTGCTCGTTTTCCTCCCACAGTGATAGGAAATGATCGATCAGCTCCATCTGTTGGACCCTCCCTCCTCGCTCCAGCAGGAACTCCTGCACGGCTTGCTCGGTGCACCGGGACGCCATCGTCAGCCCGGACCACTCCGGCGGGGCGCGGGGGGAAGCGGGGTTCGTAAACCTGGAGCGTTTCAAGATGAGCCCATGTTGACGCTCATTCACTTGGCGATGACAGCATCTTCTCCTCCGGCCTCCTCCTCTCCTCCACGGGGAGAACAGTGCGGGGCTCTGGCAGATAGGGGTCGTTGCGGCTCACCACGGATGGAGTCGTGCTGCGTTCCAGTGCTCATCGTAAAGTCAGACTTCCAACGACTGGCATAATTTATCATGACATTTAAGGAGAAAGTGGTTTTATTTTATGGGTCCACTGAGCAGAAGTGTAAATGAAAGAAGTGTAAATGTATTTGGTGCAGGTATTCAACAAATAAGTAATTTACTTATGTAATAATTAGATAAAAATCTGTTGGTAGCCTATTTAAACTTGACATCCCTTGATACTCCTCATCTTTCTGCTGGTGGGGTTGGAGTCTATCCCAGCTGACTCAGGGCGAAGGCAGGTTCACCTGGACAGGTAACCAGTCTATCACAGGGCCACACTTAGAGACAGACAACCAAGCACACTCACATTCACACCTATGGACAATTTAGAATCACCAATTAATGTCAACATGTTCTTGGACCTTGTGGGAGGAAGCCGGAGAACCCGGAGAGAACCCACGCTGCACGAGGAGAACATGGAGACTCCTCGCAGAAAGATCCCAGTGAACCGGCGGCCTTCTAGCTGCAAGGCCACCTTACAGCCCTGTTCTTATTTATTGAGTTTATTTCGTATATATATGTGTGTCATCATCAGAATCTGTTTTTTCCCCCCTAAGTATGCTTGCACATACGAGGAACCTGACTTGATATTTTTGGTGCATAGCAGTAAACACTGACAAGTAGAAAATGTTCATAAAGAATAAAATGCTTTATTTATGAGTTCAGTGTCAAGTCAATAAACAGTAGGTGAGCAAATCCAAGGACTTATGAGCAATGTTCTTATTTTCCACATCCAAAGGAATCTGTGCAATGTCTGAATTCCCACATTTGGAAGAATCTTTGCTATATCAACTGCACTTATGTATATTGCTTGTTTATTTGTATTTTCTGCTGATGTTCCCTACTTGTTTGCACTTTGCCATTTGGACACTGTAAATTTCCATTCTGTGGGGTTAATGCAGACTTGTCTTATTAAATAACAAAGAAATAGAACTATTTACAATGTGTAGGAATGTGCAAACTAATCAACTAAGAATATGTAAGATTACACAGTATGAGATGTAAACAGCTTTATATGTGCAAAGTATAAGAATATTATTTGAAAGGTGTTTATTCATGTAACACACTCAGTCAATAACTATGGTGGAAAGAGAGAGGCAGTGTTACTGGGGTCTTGGCCTTGAGGAGATCAGCTGTTATTTGGAAAAAGAAAAAAAAAGTTCATATATTAGAAATAATGGCCTGTCTTGGCTTGACCACGAATTTTTGTCTTCTGACCCAACTGAGTGGGTCAAGTGCAGTGTAGTTTTGAAAATGTTGTCAAAACTCTTGGATGTCTTTGTGATATTCTGTCTGAAACCGTATATCAACACCAGGAACAGCAGCGTGGTTGCGCGGAAATCTGCTTTACATTTTTTCTGACGGTCCGCAACGTAAACACTGGGAGCGACTGGGAAAACTGAGTTGCGCCGTACCATTATACAAAGAAGGGGTGTAGGGTTGTATTAATACAGCTAATTATTAAAGTCTTACAGCAATTTTTTTTGAAATTTTAGTGTATATTACGCTCCAAGGAAATTAAATATTCCAATTTATGTGACAGTAGCCCAAATATTGAGGACAGTGGTTTAAAATCACTTTTACAAACCGTAGACTTCGCCTCATTCCTGCATTGTTGTGAATGGTCCGGTCTGTCCAGTTGTCGACGGTAGACGCAGTGAGGCGGTCCTGACCAGGATTCTAAAAAAAGAAGAAGTCGGTCTTTGTCAGTTTTATTGTGTTATTTTTTATTTTATTTATTAGGGCTATTGTCGTCTGTCTAAAACTATGGCCTCCTCGGACGTTGCTCGGCATCCGGTTAGTATTTTTCCTCCTTGGTGCTTAACAAATGACAGTGTTCTTGACAGTTGAGCAGGGAGTGTCCGGAGCTATCATTAAGTTAGCTTTGCTAGCCGACAACTTCTTTATGAGTTTCAAGTTATTGAAAACCTGAAAAGTCAAGAAGTAACTCAGTGTAGAAGTCAACAGCGATTCTGCGCTTCTCCTCGATGTAAAGCCACATCACGAAGAAGTACTTATCTTCTTGAGTATCCAACTTTGTTTTAAAAAGAGAGTCTCTGGTACATCTTTCACCAAAGTTGACCGCGGAGGCTAACCGGCTAACACAACACTAGCCGTCCCCAATTAATGTATTAAAACAATCCCGTGTTTCACGTTTGAACCATCATGTATTGTTAGTTACTAACACACAGTTCGTTTAAGTTTAACTTTAGCTCCAGTTCTTTTGTTCATGATAGCTCAGTGATCACACATTTATTATTTATCACTATTTTCTGAATGAAATCTCGGTCAGAGGCACTCCAACATAGATAGCTGTTCATAAACACACTTCTGGTTTGTTTCTGGTTCAAGTTTTGTTATCAAAAGTTGAAGGCATTCCCTTTATCTCAGCAGTTTGTCTCCTATCCAGGTCAGTGTTCCTTCTGCAGAGCTGACTATCGATACTGAGGATATCTGAATGGTTACAGGTCAAAGGAGGACGAGATGAGCCACAGACTTGATATGAAGTTATAGTTGTCACACTGGGAGAAATCTGCTAATCACAGTTTGACAGATTGTCTCTCATTTGCTCAGATACAGATTTCTCCTTTAAGCTAGATGCTAAGAAGTTTAACAAAGCAAATAGATTTTACATAACCGCATCTTAAAAAGAACAAAAAGTCATGTATAGAGTTTGAGATCAGGCCCCTTGATGTATGAATGTGTGGCTCCATTTGTTAATATTGTGAAATGAAAGAGTTGCAGCATCCTAAGAATGAGCTGTCTCTTCTGTGAAATGTGTTCCACAGGATAAAGGAGTCCGGCCCCTGTCTCTCGCTGGCCATGTGGGCTTTGACAGCCTTCCAGATCAGCTTGTCAACAAGTCCATCTGCCAGGGCTTCTGCTTCAATATTCTCTGCATTGGTACCTTGTTACACACTCACACTTTCTTTCCAAGACAGGCACACACTGTGGCGTTACTAAAGTTAATTTTGTGTTTACTTGGCTACATGTAGACCAACTTGATTTGCTGCCCTTTTTTAGGTCTGCCTGAGCCTTAAAGCTCATTTAGTCCTCAGTTCAGAATGCATTTGGATCACAGTGCTTGAGAACTTAATATTAGGCAGATAAATTTGACTTTGGGCAGTGTCGGTTAAATGAACACTGTTGTCATAAAACGGAAAGCTGGTTCAACTCTCCTGTTTACTCTCAGTTTTACTTTAGCAAACTATGTTTAAGTAACACAACATGTATCAGGCAGATTAATGCTTGCATTACAATATTGTGTAACTGAAAAGTTTTGTTACTAAAACCTTTCTGCACTCTAGGTGAGACCGGTATCGGCAAGTCTACGCTGATGGACACTCTATTTAACACCAACTTTGAGAACTTTGAGTCATCCCACTTTGAGCCTCAGGTGAAGCTGCGGGCTCAAACCTACGACCTGCAGGAGAGTAACGTCAGACTACGTCTCACTGTGGTCAACACTGTGGGCTTCGGAGACCAAATGAACAAACAAGAGAGGTGCGAATGAATCTGTGAGCGAGCGTGTTATTGACAGTGAAGAAGTGTGATTATCTCAAAGTGTTTGTGTTCGTTTGAGGGATGGAGGTAGTTAAGAATGAGTGTTTAGATAAATATAATTTCTAAATTTTCTGGTATTGTGAAGCCCAAATCACCGATCACCGCTGTATGTGTGCCCTGCAGCTATCAGCCGGTGGTGGACTACATCGACAGGCAATTTGAGAGTTACCTGCAGGAGGAGCTGAAAATCAAGCGCTCTCTGCACAACTACCATGACTCGCGGGTCCACGCCTGCCTTTACTTCATCTCCCCCTCAGGTCATTCACTCAAGTCCCTCGACCTCGTCACCATGAAGAAACTAGACAGCAAGGTAGGAGAGAGACCACAGTGTTTGTGTGTGGATTGGTCAGTGTTCCTCTTAATATGAGATGCTGGAAGTACGGAGAACATTTAAAGGCACTGTTGTAGATCCCAGACAGGAAATACTTGTAACAAATGGTGAAGTTGCAACACTGATAGGCCACAAATGAGGGATGAGGTGTAATTGCCAGACTAAGCTCTTTTTAAACGTTGGTTATGTAACATTGCAGGCTTCATTAATCTGCTAAAGTGACGACATTCAGCCATTCAGACATGAGTCTCTTTTATGTGAGTGTTGCTGACGGCCTCATTTAGATGTACCCACCACACTGATGATGAGAGACACGATATATGTGTGATATTTGTTGATAGTACATCAGCAGTATAAAACAAATGATTTAGTCTAAGGTACAAGCAAGATTATCAAACTGTCCAAATAACTAATAGCCTACTTTACTGATATTTCCTTAATGCTGAAAATCAGTATGATGGTAATTTGACTCCTACTTTACAAAAAGTAAAAAATATATTTATATCTTGACACCTGTGAAGGAAGTCAGGACTCTTCGCCGTTAGATCCTTACTGATTCTCTCTCCGTATCAGTAGTACTTCATAATTATAAGTAATTAATGAAGTTCTTGTTGTTGCTCAATGTGTGTAAATGCTCACAATTGTCTTGCTTTGGAGATGCTCATGTAGATCCTGCTGCAGTTTGATGCTGCATCTGTTTATTAAACTCAGAGGAACAGCTGGAAGCAGCAACCTGAACTCCTGTTACAGTTTTGTTAAAACCCAGATTATATTTATTATTGGAGGTCTCAATAATCTGACTTGTTCTGTCTTCACTGCAGTAAAGTTTTATTTTTGTGAACATTTACGTTCATAACAGCTGTAAAATTGTTGAGTAAAGTGAATGATAGGGGTGATTTTTAGCAGCAAACTGCATCTTTTGTGCTCTCTATAATGTTTTAGATTAATATTGGTGCTAAAATGTGAAAAAAAAGTCTTCTCTACATCACTCTGCATAACTTCGGCATGTGTATGCCGATCTGTTACTGCCGTGTTATGTAATTCAGATATGTTCAAAATTATACAAACACATAACCAAGTAAGATTGTCGTTACAGCTTTTACAGAAAACTGACCCGTCTGCTCATTGTGACATGTACCGACACTCTCATCTGCTGTCAGATTAACAGAAAGGAGTTTGTGAATAGCTAAATAAAAGAGATGGACAACTTTTTCTTACTTTTCAGTATAAGCTGACACGTTTTTACCTGAAGAATAGCAAAATCAGTAGTGAAACTTTGGGAGGAACTGGCATCCGGTATCAGCAGCTATGTAATGAAAGAACCCCAGAGATGGATGGTCGTCTGTGTGGCGGAGTCCGTAATCATCTTTTTAGGAGAAGTTGCAAAAGCTTTCCATTTGACAAAGCTCAAAATGACAGATTGATGAATTTGCCATAAAATGACAGAACTGGAATTTCTGAAATTGTCTACTCAGTGAACTAATGAGAAAAAGACATTTGCATAGAACATTTACAAAGATAAATGCCTATCTCAGAAGCAGAGGCTGCAGGAGTTTGCTATCAAGTAGGAATGCAAGGAATCAGACATGAAAACTGACCACAAACTGATGTGCATGTGAGAGGCAGCAGGGTTTTCTGTATAAGGAACTAACGCTGCTGCTGTTTCATGTCTGACGGCTGAGAGAGGTTCACCATCAAACCAGCTAAAGCCCTCGTTCCGTTGCTCCTGAAGTGGTCAGAAACTTTCCCATGCTCTCTGTGTGTAGTGACTTTGTGTTTTTTGTGCGTTTGTGCGGTTTCGCTGCTCCGGAGTGTCAGTAACCCTGGATTTGCGTGTGAAAGGAATAGAGAAAGCAGTGGAATGCTGTAATCACCTCACGCACACACACTCGAGTTGTCCTTTTGTGCCACTGTACAGATACGCACAGAAAGAGGCGATTGTTGATTCTGCAGCAGCGACACATAGACAGTCACTCACTCAGACAGCTGTTGGAACAGCTCTCCCAGCGTTGTTTTGTTTTCTCTGCTGCGTGTTCTGTGTGTTCTGTGTGTGTGTGTACGGGTGTGTGTGGTCTGGCCCGGTAGCTTTCCTAGTGACAACAACTCATTCCAAGCCTGTCTTTGGTCCGACAAGATGACAGACAGACAGACAGACAGGAATGTGGGATGCCTTGGACAGCACACTGAACTGGGCCAGAAATAACATCAGAAAACATGGTTTATGTAACGCTTATCTAAAAACAGTTTAGACGGATCTCAGATAAAGAAAAGCAAATATAGTTGAGTTTTTTTTGTTGAATTTCCACTTTAGCTGGTCAGACTAACGGATGTGTTTTTGAAGCGTCTACATGTTGTTTCATGCCGTGTTCATCGTTACT